CTACATCTTGGATGCCCTGGGGGTAAGCAGATAAACATCAAATTTTCATTTTTGGGTTAACTATCCCTTTAAACGCAATAAACCTTGAAAAATAACTCACGCGCTATCACACACCCTAAGCGCGTGCACGGAAGTCCTCCCTCCTGCAGACAGCATGCGATTGCAGATTCAGATCTCTTTCAGCAGTTACTGCGCTTCAGCGGTCAAATACACACACAGTTTCATTAAAATGCCCGTCTTGGTTTATGACTGAAATTAACGTAAACAGCTGAGAAAAAAAAACACGTGTGTATCAATAAATTCGGTCCGTGCAGCTCTTAAAGTGACAGCAGACTAATATTCCTGCTGCTGTTTAGTAGTATCAGTAGTAGTATCGAGATATTTTAGTTATGTTTCGTAACAAAGTCAAAATTGTGGTATTGTGACAACCCTACATTCTATAGATTATCATTATCAGATACATTAGATATTTTTAGATAGTATCATCTAGTCAGTAGATTAAATAACCTCTAATTATACACTTAAGGATATTTTCTTATTTTCAAGGCTCATAGTAACAATATGGAAAAGTGAAATATGGAAGTTTAAATAATGCTTTCTATTCATATGCTGAAGATAGTTTCATAGATTAAGTTGTTGAATACGTCATGCGTTTTTAGGTAATACCACTAGTCAGATGATCCCTCAAATAAAATCGCTAAGTGCTTCCTGAGCAGCAGTCAAACGGTCCAGGCTAGTCTGTAGGTCTTTGCGTCTTCTGCCAACATCAGAATTCTCAAACAGGAGCTCGCTCACATTTACTCCATCTAGTAAACTTAACATGTCCGTAGACAGGAGCTGAGCAGTTTCCTTCAGCATGAAAAAGGAGATCATCATGGGGAGTTGGTCAGACATCCGCTGCACAACAATCTGAAAGAAAACATACCTGCAAAAATTACCTGCACACTGCACAAGCACTGCAAATTATTCCCGAACAAAACATTATATTGTTATTGGAAACTAGAAAGACATAGCCTACCTCAGAATACGCCTGCAGCATTTCACTGTACTTGCTTTTCTTGTCAAGGACAGGTAACTGATCTTCTGAATATTTCTCGTCACTAATCTCATTCAAGAACTTCAAGTAGATGGGATCTTGAGTGTAGATCATGCCTTCCATTTCAAACTGCTCTGAGATCCTCTGCTCTGCCTTGGCTTGTTGGCTTGACTGTATGTTATCGATTTTATTCTTTTAGAGTCAAGTGAAGAAGTACAGAGAAAAGAGAACTTAATTAAACTTGATTTACAATGCGAGTTTGTTGTACAGTTCTATGCCACTTTTTAAAAGGAATATTTACCAAAGTGATGTTTTGAAGAGCAGGGTAGTTCTGGAAACACTGATAAACTACATCAGTGAATTGCTGTAAGATGATGTCTTCAGAAAAAAAAAAATACATACATCAAAAGACAAACATTCTTTTGGTTTTATACTCAGTACTCTCACATGAACATGAAGATGTGTGACGATACCTTTGATTATGTTGAGTAATTTAATGGCATGTGCTTTATGTGTGGCCACATGCCTCTGCAGTACGTTCTCAAACGTTCTGTAGTTGCTGAAGCCGAGCAGTTCCCTCCCTCTGTATTTCTGACTTAACTGACTTATTTCTGCAATTAAATCATTATCTTGTTTGGGAACAAACAAGATTTGAAATTAATTGACTTTTTCATTTGAACTTAGAATTCTTAGAATAGCAAAACAGTGAATTCAATTTTTCTAAGAAATTTGAAAAATATACTGACAGAATGTCTTTGTACTGTTAAGATGATCATGCCACTTTCTGAATTTCTCCCGAAGTTGGACAAACAAATGATCTTCAGTAATCTGCTCCCCTAATGATAATGATTTGATTTCTTCATTGAATCTTGTTAAGGTCTGTGGAGAAAGAAATTGTATTGTTACATGAAACTGTTTCAAAGTTACATTATATAATAAAATTAATAGGCTACTGTGAAATAAATTATGGAAATTATCACATTCTCATGCAAACCAAAAAATATAGTTAGGACCAATATTTGGGGTGTGCTTCTGGGGGGGGATAAAACAGAATTAACAGAACCTACAACCAATCAGTGGAATCGGAATAAGAACCAGAATCTGTCAATTCTTTACAATTCGCATACATATCAGCTAGTAAAATGGTAAAGGATTTTGTTTAATATACAAACTTCAATATACAAACAAGACAAAACTGTAAATATAGTGAGCAGCAATCATCAGGGTCCAAGCAGTTTGGAAAAGTGGAGAAAATGACCAAATATAGAAGAGCAGATTCTGTGGATACTGTGCTGTATTGGTGAAGAATATCAACACTGTTCAAAAGTTCAGAGTTATTTAGTTATTAGCACTCCCTAGCATCGGAAATTGATGAAATGTACTGCACTGAAGGCTAGAAGGCTACCCAGGAGAAAAAAAGTGCACTAAAATACACTTTATTTCAGTACACTTAGTACACTTCCACAATGTACTTAAAGTGCTCTATTTTCACGCACTAATTTTGTACTCAATATAAGAATCTTAAGAACATCTAAGTGTACTCAACTGTGCTATTTTTGGGCCGTGGTTATGACTCTGAACTAAGTGCAGGTTTTTCTGTGAGCTCCTGGCGTTATTCGTTTAAAATCCTGAATATCATTCTCTTTATTCACCGACACAACATTAATCTGCTTCATTAACTCTTCCTTGTAAACTAAGGATTAGGATGCCGTCGAAAAAAGGCAAAGTTAAGCCTAAATCGAGCTCTTCTCCAGTCATGGTACATGATGACGAGTGGGATGCTAGTAGTGTAGCTAGCTCATCAGATACCGTATGCAGCGCCTCTCAGGGTGAGACAATAGAAACAATAGTTGAAACAATAAATGCCAACGCTTGCTTGAATATGGACATGATTCAAAAACTGGACCTAATGAGAAGTGATTTTGCCACAAAGATTGATGGTGTTCTAACGGCGATACAAGATGTTAAAAAGGATGTAAGAGATTTCTCTGGGCGCATGGATATGGCCGAAGAGTGCATTAGCAACGTAGAAGATTCGGTTAATTCAGAAAAAGAGCTAGCTGGAAGAAACAGTTAAACACAGCTTTCCTCACACGCAAGCTTGACGATCTTTAAAACCGTTCGCGGAGATCAAACCTCCTTCCTGGAAAAGTGGCTGTTCGAATCGCTGGGTCCCGAAACAACTCCGCCCAGTATAAAGAGAGTGCACAGGCTCCCAGGTAGACCACAATCCATTAGATCATCTCCAAGAGTGCTAATCATTAAGTTTCTGAACTTTCAAGATAAAGTCCGAGTGATGCGGGCAGAGGAAGCGTAGAGGTACAACAGGGAAGTCTGTCAGATTTCCGTAGTTATGGACACCCAGCTAGAAATGACTGCTTCTCACTTTTACTGTTCGGATTTCTTGATCTTAGCTGGGTATAGTACGGCTACTCTCATTGCTATGTAAGTTACGTAATGACAGTAGTTTCTACAATGGCAAGTAAGGAAATCAGACACACTATACGACTCTTTTCCTTGAAGAGTTTAACTATAATTTGAGAGTATTTTGGTGGTGAATGTCCGTATAACCGTAGATTGATGCCAGGAGTTTCACATAAATCCAGTTGTTGTTTTAAAAAAAAATATTATTTAGCTAATCGCTTTGTTTGTTTAACTGCTCCCTTGTTGACATTGGATCAGTGTTGGGACATAACTGTATCCCATGGTGATAGGTGAATGTGTTTTTTTTTTTCAAGACAGGTTTTTTAGTTATTAGTTTGGTTTTGTTTTTTAAAATCCTGAGTAGAGCAGACCTTTTGGTTAACTTCCGCATCAAAATATTATTTGTTAATTATGTGTGGTTATAATGCTCTGCAATCGGCTGAAATTCTGCACCAAGGCTGAATTTCGGGAAAGAGACTTCAGATACAGTACTAGGGACCACTTAGGCCTATATAAAAGCATCCAAAAAGCAGCATGTCATAGGACCTTTAAGTTAAAGAAAATCTCACAAGTTAAACTTAAATTCACCTCTTGGAATGTAAGAGGGATGATTACAATGGTTAAGCTTAAACAAGTTATGACAAGGATTAAACAACTGGAATCTTCTATAATATTTTTACAGAACACTCATCCACTCAAAGAGGAGATACTGAAGGTACAAAGATGGCCAGGCCAGGTCTTGGCTTCATGTTTTTCCTCCCATTCCAGAGGGGTTATGTTGTTGATCTATAAGTCCGTACCCTTCGTAGTAAATAAGAGTATTACAGACAAGACCAGTAGATATTTGATAGTACAGGGAACTTATATGAGTAAAGTTATTAATCTAAATAATATTAATGGCCCAAATGATGATAACCCAACATTTTTTGAAAAATTTTCATACTGATAGCCTCTCGGGACAAAAAAAAAAAAAAAACAGTTTAAGAAATGGCTCAAAATGGCTCAAAACTCGGCAGGCATTCCATAATGTTAGGCGGGTAACATAGTGCATGCAGGAGCTGGAGCCCCTGATACGGGCATTCTGTCACTCAATGCCGAAAATGCATTCGACAGACTTGAGTGGCCATACTTAATGGAGGTGCTTGCACGATTTGGATTGTGACTATTTGTGACTATTTCCGTAGATGGATGGAAATTCTTTTAATTGATTCTTCTGCAGAAGTACTCACTAACAATCTAATCTCGCCGCCATTTAAATTTAGCCATGGTTCTAGGCTAGGTTCACCTCTTTCGCCCTTACTCTTTGTACTAGCTATAGAGCCACTGGCCATAGCAATAAGCCCTATACCATTTGTGGTGTTTATACAGAAGCTCTAGAACATCATATTGCTCTATATGCTGATGATACCATCATATTTCTATCAGAGCTTGAAAAATCTATCCCATCCCTCTTAAAGCTTATTGGCATGTTTGGCAATTTTTCTGGATATAAAGGAAATAAAGATAAGTCATCAATTATGTTTCTTAATGAACAAGAGAGATTAAATCCAAAGGTGATTCACCCATTTGTAAATGCTCAAAATGGTTTTATTTATCTAGGAATTAAAATAATCCCTAAAATAAGCTGCCTTAGTTCAGCTAATTATGAACCTGTGTTAGCTGAAGTATCTGAAGAGACGACTAGATGGATGACACTGCCTCTTTCTTTAATGGAAAGAATAAACGTGGTTAAGATGAACATATTACCAAAATTTCGATATATTTTTCAGTCAATACCGCTTCCCCCTCCTCTTACATTTTTTCCAAGAATAAGAAAGCTTGTCTGTAATTTTATTTGGAGTAACAGGAAGCCAAGACTGAGACTCTCTTTACTATACCTGCCCTATGAAAGGGGAGGGCTACAACAACCATATTTACTATGGTATTACTGGGCTGCTCAATTGAGGGCTGCAATGTTCTGGTTCTCTAGTGAAGCTGATTTGCCATGGTTACAGATTGAAAAGTTAGCTGCAAAAGGCTTGTCGCTTGACAGTTTTTTATATTCAGCACCCCTTAAAGATCTAAAAAAAAAGGGACAGATAATCCATTTGTCAAAAACACTATTGTCATCTGGTATGAAGCCCATAAATATCTTGGAGACCTCCCATTGCTTTCCTGCTTTTCTCCTATTTTGGGTAATCATCATTTCAGCCCAGCCAAAAATTATGTGGGATTTAAAGTTTGGATGAATAAAGGCATGGTTAGAGTGATGGATTTATACGAAGATAATATGTTAATGCCATTTGAATATCTTGTAACAAAGTTTAACATACCACAGAAACACTTTTTTAAGTATCTTCAACTCAGAAGTTTTATTTTTTCACGTTTAAAGAATTCTGTGCAACTCCCCCCAATGTCAATATTGGAAATGCTCACATCACAAGAATGCTACAGCAAAGGATGGATTACCCAGTTATATAACATACTAAGAGAAAATCATAAAGAAAGTTCTGAAAATAAAAGACAAGCATGGATAAAAGATATAAATATGAACATTCCATTGGATGACTGGAAAGCAATTTGTTTAAATGCACAAACACAAACTATGAACACTCGGTTGAGACTCTTAAAATATAACTGGGTAATGAGAACTTGTATAACTCCTGTAAGATTAAATAAATTTAATCCAATCATTCCTGATCTATGTTTTAAATGCAACAAGCTTCAAGGTACATTTTTTCATTGTGTGTGGAAATGTGAGGAGGTGCAGAAGTTTTGGGGTGGGGTAATTCAATATGTTTCTCAATTTACTTCGTCTTCAATTCCTTTATGTCCTGTATTGTGTGTATTTAGTACTTATGCAGTCAATTGCTCTTTGTCTACTAAAGAAGTATTATTTTTATTTGTTATTTATTTTAATTTTAATTCAATTATGTCTGACTTTATTATGTCTGTATAGGTCTTTTATTAAGTTTTAGTTTTATTTAATTTGAGTTATTTTAATACTTCAACAAACTAAATGGAAATGAAATAATATATATATTGAATTTATAAATGTGTATGTATATATATATATATATATATATATGTATGTGTGTGTGGTTGTACATACACATATATGTAGTTTTTACCTTTTGTTCTTTAATATTTTGAATTGTTTTTAGCTTTATTTTTTGTTTTTCATTTAAATGATCAGTTTTGTAATTTTGTTGTATGCATTTGTCATTTTTATTTAATATCTTTATTTTTAAAATGTGTATAGGTAGTATTTATAAAGTTTTAGCTTTTAGTTTTGGATCTGTTTTTTAGTTGTTTTAATACTACAATTGATTGCTTCTGTTGTCCTCATTTGTAAGTCGCTTTGGATAAAAGCGTCTAATAAATGACTAAATAAATAAAAAGAAAAGAAAAGAAAGAAAGAAAGCTTGTAGACTTGTGTCTATTACAAGCAAGACATTCTATTGCCCTTTGTTGGAAACAACACCAATTGCCCTTCCCTTGGACTATGGCCGAAAAACTTAATATCTTGTTTGGCTCTTGAAAAGCTTACGTATGTAATAAAGAAGAAATCCTCAGAATTTTTTGATATTTGGGAGGTGTTTTTGGACTTTGTTAAAAATGGGGATATTGAAGAAGCTCTAGATGTGTGAAGTTATGAATGTAAGAATGTTTATGAGGACTGGTTGAGATAATGTTTTTTTTAATTTTTTATCCTGCCTGGAGAAGGTTCTGAGAGGTTGAGTTGTGTTTTTGTAAAATTTGTAAAAACTCAAAGATATGTTATACAACTGTGCTATTTTGAGACAATGAATATGAACTAAAATGTGCTTTTAACATACTATCTCTATTAGTCTATCTACTATTAGTATGTCATTAGCATACAAGATGCCTTACAAACTACTTAACATCCTCCAAGGCTGCATGTTTTGTTAGTAAATTTTCTGTAATACAAAGCACATAATTTAGAAAAGATGTTGTTGTCATAACTGTTCTAAATAGCTGACAGACTGTGCGGTGTTTAATTATTTATTTTTGATTCCTGTCAAATGTGAAATGGGCCAGTCTTTCAAATATCTGTTTTTTTAATGATGGGGCGCAGCAGTTTCCAGCAAGTTCAGGTCTGCCCCAGAGATGTTGCAGCACTGGGAGGCTTGCATTTTCTGAGCAGCTTATTAGTGGAGCTAATTTGGTTGTTCCTTGCTGGTCATGTGTTTCAGGGCACTGAGCTGACTACTCGAGATACACCAGAGTACAGTCTCAAAAGGCTACAGAATCCAATTCTGTTCCTGTCCACTTTTTTAAGACAATCTTCTGGCTTTTAGCACTGATTATTTATCAGAATTTTTTTTATGATTTATATAGTTATTATACTGTTAATCCTTTACACATGAGCAATTTTTGTTTATCAATTATAATTAAGCATTTACTTTTAATGAATATGAATATATATAAATAATATGTAATTAGAATCAAACAATAAAGCTTTAAAAATGACTACATGCGACTTTTACATGGTCAAGTCCCTGTATACATATATACAGTATATTATCGACTAAACTACACACAATTTTCATTTACACTGATATAGCAAGATGTTTTCTTCTTGCTTTGTAAATTCAATTAAATTCTTCATATTTTCAATCTGTTCATTTTTAGCAGAAGAGAATAAATCGCGCTGACTCACAAGAACTGAATCGCAGTTTATCAGTGTTTCAAGGCATGAGATCTCTTTTCTACTCATGGCACACTTTCATGTGTACGCGCTCCATGAACTCAGCATCAAACTATCAGAAAGCAGGAAGATGTGATGGCTTCAGATGATTAAGTTCTTACTTTAATGAGGAATTGTTTGGCTCCCTTAGGGTCTTGTGGTGGTCCAGCCTCGCACTCCTTCAGCTCATTCTTCAGATCCCACAACTTCTTTTTTATCTGTTCGTTAAGCTGTGGCAGTGATTTCTGACAACACACACACACACACAAAATTTGGTCCACAACACTTTTTCTATTTTTCATGCAATGCATATGGAATGCGCATGTTAAATACACTCAATAGATGTAGTGAAAAAATTATATTTAAGAGTATATAAAATAAAAGGGAATGTTGAAGCTGACACCTCATCCTACTCAGCTTTTTACTTTTACTCTTATTCTAGTTGCACAAGTTCACAAAGCGCTATCAAATTTAGATTGCAAAAAATCAGTAGGGCCTGAAAATATAGAACCGTATTTTTTATTTTTTTTTAATTGCATCAGATTATATAGCGGAACCAATCACTGCTATTTTTGCTTTAAGTTTAACTTAAAATGTAATCCCACATGCATGTAAATCAGCCATGGTTTTCCCTTTGTTAAATGGGGTGATCCCTCTGAATTAGAAAATTACAGACCTATCTCAAGGCTATCAGTGATGGCAAAAGTTTTTTAATCTTTTGTAAATGACCAAGTAAAATGGTTTTTAACAGAAAATAATATTTTAAATGAATTTCAATCAGGTTTCCGGTCAGGTCATAGTACTGTAACAGCAGCTATGCTGATCACAAATGATATTATATGTTTAGATAAAAATCAGCACTGTGCAGCACTATGTGTTGATCTTTCTAAAGCATTTAATTCTGTAGATCACAAAATCTTATTGCAGAGACTCAGTTGCTTAGGTTTTAGTAAAATGAGTTTAAATTGGTTCAATAATTATCTGACAGAAAGAATGCAGTGTCTCCGTTGAAAATGTCACTTCCACAGAATTAAAAATAAATAAAGGCATCCCACAGGGATCTATTTTAGCACCAGTTTTATTTTCAGTTCATATAAATGACTTAGATAAAGAGATAACCCCAGCTAAAATACATTTGTATGCTGATGACACAATTATCTACACAGTTGCACAGTCCATGAATCAAGCCATAGAGCTGTTACAAGACAGTTTTCGGTCATTACAATTTTCACTGTTAAATTTGAAATAGTTTTTAAATACTAAAAAAACTAAATATATAGTCTTTAACCATTGTTGCACTAAAATAACTGTTCCACCTATTTTAACCTTGGAAGGGGGCTGGATTATAGAAAGGGTAAATTGCTATAAATACTTGGGCATATGGCTTGATGAAAGGCTGGGTTTTAATATACATATTGAAAATCTTTTTAAAAAGCTAAGACCTAAATTGGGTTTTCTCTTTCGTATAAAGGAATGCTTTTCTTCTGAAGCAAAAAAAAAAGAGAGAATTATCCAAAGTTGTTTCCTCTGTGTTGGACTATGGTGTTGTGCTTTATATGCATGCAAACCTATCCTTACTGAAGAAGCTGGACTGTATCATGCTGCAATATTATTTGTGACGAATGCATCTTCACGTACTTATCATTGTACTTTGTACAAATTGGCTGGTTGGTCCTCCCCGTACCAAAGGTGAATAATGCATATTCTGCTGTTTATTGCCAAGGCATTATTAGGCAAATTGCCAACTTGTATTTGTAATCTCTTATCATATTATACTTGTAATTATAGGACTAGAATTTCTTCTAAATTACACTTAATTGTTCCTAGAGCATAGTCTGAGTTTGGTAAAACATCTCTGTTACGTATGTAACCCCCGCTCCCTGAGGGAGGGAACGGAGACGTCACGTCGGAACGTACCAATGTATTGGGATCTCGCCTGAGAGCCCTATCATCTTCAAGTGTAACTAAACGAGCCAATGCATATTGGCGTGCGAGATTTGCATCTTGCGCTCCGCTCCGCAGCGCGGGTATAAATGCGGAAGCGGGTGCAATGCACATTCAGGTTTTCGCTGAGTCGTCGAACAAAAAGTACACTTGGTACAGCAAGTGTGGCGACAGGACGTGACATCTCCATTCCCTCCCTCAGGGAATGGGGGTTACATACGTAACTGAGACATTCCCTTTCAGTCGGTCATGTTCGATGTCACATCGGAACGTACCGACGAATTGAGATCTTTAACAAAGCGCCACCATTGCTGACCCTTCCAGCGCCCCTAGTAAGCCACCTGATCCCACCGCGGCTACTGGGGCGGAAGATAGGACAGGGCTTACATGGAGAGAGTCTATTACTGCGTGCCTTTCATAGGGATGCTGAGGAATCCACATCCCGCCCGCAGGGAGGTATCATGTGGAGATTACACATATGGACTGGGCATTAAGGGCAGTACAACATATGGAATGTCTTTAAGGTGGCTCCGGCCCAGTTAGGAGGGAGACAACACCGGCAGGACGGTAGAGTGGACTCTGCCAAGGGAAAGACACAGGCTCACCAAGAGGGGAGCCGTACCGTGGAAGAATACACACATGGGATCACCGTGGGGATCACTAAATATGGGCACCTAGCCTAGCACAGGGGTTAACCAACAGGTGTACTTACAAGTGTTAGGCCTAGCACCGGACGCTCTGCCATGTCCAGCTACCGAAGGCGATGGAGGAATTCAACAGGGTTCACCTGTGGGGAATTGAACTGTGGAGCAGAATAAGCGCACATGTCTGATCTGTGGAAGGGAAGGCGCAGCAAGCGAGACACTGAGCAATCTCTCTGTGTTTTACTGGCTACTCGGGGCGAGTACACGAGAAGACACTGGCTCTACACGAAAGGTATAAAATCTAGCAAACGTGTTTGGTGTCACCCAGCCCGCAGCACTACATATTTCTGTCAGCGAGGCGCCGTGCGCCAATTCCCAAGAAGAAGCAACACTCCTTGTCGACTGTGCTCTCAACCCAAGGGGGCACGGCACATCTTTGGTTTGATACGCCATGATGATGGCATCCACTATCCAGTGGGCCAACCTTTGCTTGGAGACAGCCTTTCCATTCTGCTGGCTTCTGTGACAGACGAAGAGCTGCTCTGAGGTCCTAAAGCTCTGCGTTCGGTCCATGTATAGGCGTAAAGCACGAACGGGACAGAGCAAAGCTAAGGCAGGGTCTGACTCCTCCGAGGGCAGCGCTTGCAGGTTCACCACTTGATCCCTGAAAGGCGTGGTGGGAACCTTGGGCACATATCCGGGCCGGGGTCTCAGGATAACGTGAGAGTCGGCCGGCCCAAATTCCAGGTGCAGGCCGAATGCAGGTCCCCTACCCTCTTGATGGAAGCCAGCGCAGTTAAGAGAACTGTCTTTATTGACAGAGTTCTCAGCTCTGCTGACTGCAATGGCTCAAAAGGGGCCCTCTGTAATGCCGTAAGCACCAGATGGAGAATCCAAGAGGGTACGGGGTTAGGGCGAGGAGGATTCAGTCTCCTCGCGCCCCTCAGGAACCTGATGATCAGGTCGTGCTTTCCCAGAGATTCACCATCTACAGGATCGTGATGTGTGGCAATCGCGGCAACATACACTTTTAGGGTGGAGGGAGACAGCCTTCGCTCCAACCCATCCTGGAGGAAGGAAAGCACAGCTCTGATCGGGCATCTCCAGGGGTCTTCCCGGTGAGAAGAGCACCATTCAACGAACAGGTTCCACTTCAAGGTATAGGCACACCTCGTAGAGAGTGCTCTTGCCGAAGTGATGGTGTCTACCACCGCCTGGAGTAGATCACCTAGGACCTCCGCATCCCATCTAGAGACCACACGTGGAGGTTCCAAAGATCTGGACGCGGGTGCCAGAGGGTGCCCTGTCTCTGAGAAAGTAGGTCTTTCCTCAGAGGAATGTGCCAGGGAGGGGCTGTCGTGAGGAGCATCAGTTCTGAGAACCAGGTTCGGTTGGGCCAGTAAGGCGCAACTAGCAGGACCTGCTCCTCGTCCTCCCTGACCTCCCTGGCCCCGGGGTCAGCTGTGCGCCAGTGCATCCATGCAGAGGGAATAGAACAGCTGGCAATGGGACGTGTCTGGAGAGGCAAACAGGTCTACCTGTGCGGCTGCGAAGTGTCTCCATATCAGCTGGACTGCCTGGGGATGGAGTCTCCATTCTCCCGGAAGCGCAGGCTGACGTGAGAGCTCGTCGGCTCCACGATTGAGCAGGCCCGGAATGTAAATGGCACGAAGTGACCTCAGATGCTTCTGACTCCATAGGAGGAGATGGCGGGCGAGTTGCGATGTACGACGGAAGCGTAGACCACCTTGATGGTTTATGTATGGTCGCAGTGTCGTCTGTACGGACCAGCACATGCTTGCCTCGTAGCAGCGTTTTGAAGTGGCCCAGCGAAAGACGTACTGCAAGCAACTCGAGGCAACTGATATGCCAATGCAGATGGGGACCCGTCCAAATACCCGATGCTGCATGCCCGTTGTACGTGGCACCCCAGCCTGTGGTGGAGGCATCCCTGAACACAACAGCATGCCTGGACACCTGTACCAGGGGAATTCCTGCCCGTAAAAATGCAGGGTCCGACCACGGGCTGAAAGCTTGGCGACAGGCCGGAGTGATCATCACTCGGTGCGTGCCATGTTGCCACGCCCATCTCGGGACTCAGCCATGAAGCCAGTGCTGAAGCGGCCTCATATGAAGCAGTCCGAGCATTGTTACTGCAGCTGCGGATGCCATATGCCCTAGGAGCCTCTGAAATAGTTTCAGTGGGGCCGCTGTCCTGCCCTTGAGAAAATTCAAGCAGTTCAGCATTGACCGAACACGTTCCGCTGTGAGGCGTGCTGTCAGGTTGACCGAGTCCAACTCCATACCAAGAAAAGAGATCCTCTGCACCGGCAAGTGTTTGCTCTTTTCCCAGTTGACGCGAAGTCCCAACTGGCTGAGGTGACTGAGCACCATGTCCCTGTGTTCGCACAACTGATCCTGTGACTGTGCCAGAATGAGCCAGTCATTGCGTACGCCGTGTTCTCTCAAAGGAACAAGGGTCGCCTTCGCAACCTTCGTGAAGACGTGGGGTGACAGGGACAGCCCAAAGGGGAGGACTTTGTACTGATATGCCCGTCCCTCGAACGCAAAGCGGAGAAACGGCCTGTGCCGAAGGAGAATCGAGACATGAAAGTACGTGTCCTTCAGGTCGATCGCTGTAAACCAATCTTGGGGACGGATGCATTCGAAAATGCGTTTCTGCGTCAACATTTTGAATGGTAGCTTGTGAAGGGCCAGTTCAGAACTCGCAGGTCCAAGATTAGTCGTAACCCACCACCTTTCTTGGGTACATTGAACTAAGTGCTGTAAAACCCCAACCTCATATCGGCTGGAGGGACCAGCTCTATCACGTCCTTTGCCAGCAGGACTGCGATTTCTGCCCATAAGACAGGAGCATTGCTGGTCAGCACGGAGGTGAACTGGATGGTCCTAGGTTATGGAATGAAATGCAGAGTCTTATGATGTTAGAAGCACTTTTATCTTTAAATATTTTTAGAAACCTTTTGAAATCCTACCTAAAGGAAACATGTGAATGTTTTACGTCATTTTTTTTTATATGATGTTGGATAAGAGTTTATTCTTTAATATATTTTTGGCTTAATGTATTTGTAATCTGTTTATGTGAAACTTTCTGTGCTGCCATTTTGTCCAGGACTTCCTGGTAGAAGAGATTTATATCTCAATTGGATAATTTCTGGTAAAATAAAGAATAAATAAAATAAATAATATGAATAGGCCTTTAGAGTAAGACATTTAGAAACTTACTTTGATGTGACCGACCAGATGCTGAGACAGTTTGACAGCAAGACTTTTAATAGTTGCTTTTTCCTCTTCCAAGAGACATCTGTAGATAACCAGATATTTTATAAAACCAAAACTGTGCTTTGGCCATAGTGAACATTATTAAAAAACCTAATTAAAGTCATTTTTAAGGATGCCATTTGTGTAGGCACAAATTTCTCATGGCCAAAATGAGGCGCATATTTTTGTAACTTCAGTTTACTACCATGATAGAAAACTGTTGGAATGGGAAAACAAAGCAACCTGATTGAAACATGACAAATCAAGTCTTAATGACACATATTTTAGGAAACACAAAGTTATATTAAATTCTTTTGATGTTATAACCTGAAATGTTCATGGGTTCTGAAGAAATCGCTCTCCATTTGTGCTGCCTCCTCTAGAGAAATGTTATCATCAATCTGCTGTTGTCCTCTACACTTCACCATGATGTAACCTTTGCGAAGAGGAATCACTTTGTTGTGGACAATGTCCAGAATTCTCGTTTCTGTTCCTCTATCTATGAGGTCTGGCTTGGTCAAAATGGCTGTGAGAAAGAAAAATAGTTATTTTGTAAAATGGAAATTTGATGACACAGGTGCTCATTAACATATTAGGTGTTGTGGATTATGTGCTACATTACCAATAGTTCTTTTGCCATCAGGATCTACTTCTTGAGCTATTTTTAATGCTTCTGTTGTTGCAATGTCAGTGTTGCATGGGCACACTACCATGTTTATAGTCTCTTGCTTCTCAATATATTTCCTGATCAGACGTTTTATCTACAAAATATGACCATTTTAAAACTCGATAAGTATGGTACTGAATGTGGCATGCAAAATCATATTATACAACCTGCCTGGTTTCCAATATCTTGTGGTTGTCCATTTACTGGGACTCGGGCAATTCCAGGTAGATCAATCAGTGTGAGGTCACACACATCTGGTGACATGATCTCTAATGTGATGAGGTCATCACGTATTCCTACCCCTTTTCCTGCCAGCTCATTCTGGGCTGTAAAACACACACACCACATAATTAACTGTGTTACTCAACCTGAATGCTTTGGTCAAGTTTATACATACATGCTCAGCTGAGCAGTAAGCAATTCAAACATGTTTAGTATGATAGTTTAAGTATCACTTAACTTCATAAACACATTAAACTCCACAATCGGATATTAGGTGAAAATATCTTATTTTATAAAAAGAAAAATACTGAATGCATTCGAGAATTCTTCTGTATAACAATGTGTCTTAATGTGGTGAAAAAAATTTGCAAAAGAGACATTGTATGACTTTTTTAGGTTGAAAACCTGCAAATAAATGCCAAGTTCTGTCATGAAACTCTAGATGGTGAAGGCTGATGGGTCCTTAACACAAACTGATGATATTCACAGCGTTAACTACTTGGCACAAACAGTTTGGTTCATGTTGCATCTGCAGCCAATGAGCTTGCTGCTCTGAGTTTGAACTTTTTTAGCAAAACCTGCCTTGAATTGTCCCTCTCTTGATCCAGCGGAGCATGTGTATATTGTGAATTTAACGTGACCGGCTGTGTCCGCAGTGGTCTGGGCAGCGCTGTTGTTTCGCCCTGTTGCTTTCATCATTAATGTGTTTGGCTCGTTCTGATAATCTGGAACAACTGCTTCTTCCTATTGTTTCCACTACCTGTGTTGTTATGCATGGATGCTTTAAAGGGGTGTGTCCAGGGGCAGAGGTCAAGGAGAGAAATAAAGATGTCGACACGGCTAAAGGATGACTGTGTTCGGGTCTGTCTGTAAAGTATAAGCAAAACATGGTGGCAGAAGTGGTTCTCTCGTAAATATTGACTAAAAAGAAAGTCTAAAGAGGCGAGAGAAGATATATTAAGCCCAAACGTGCAAGAGAGAAAACTGAGAAATCAGAGAGAAATTAAAAACAGGAGTAACAAGCGACAAAACAGCGAAAGCAAGTGTGCTTCGAGGAAGAAAAGAAAACGCAGAAATGGATAAGTTCAAACCCCGTCTGGTATGCAGCTGACAGGAAATTTAGCAGAAAATTGGAAGAGATTGAAGCAACGTTTCACCATCTACTTGGATGCAAGCGGGGTAGGTGGCGATGACGAAAAAAGAAAAGCATCTATATTGCTACATGTCATCGGCGAGGATGCACTTGACATTTACAACAGCTTCCAGATACCAGAGGATGAGTTTAAATTGCAAAACATCATGGCCCGATTTGAAGAGTACTTTGTGCTGAAACAGAACATCACGTATGAAAGGTACAAATTCTTCTCTTGCGACCAAAAAGGGGGCGAAAGTTTTGATCAGTATTTTTTACCGGAGCTTCATACTATCAGTAAAACCTGTGACTTTGGTGACTTGCGCGAATCTCTGATAAGGGATAAAATAGTATGTGGCATTTCAGACAATTCAGTACGAGAGAGACTGCTGCGAGAGCAAGATCTTACGCTAGAGAAAGCAGTAAGCATATGCAGAGCGGCAGAGACTACTCGCGCACAAGCAAATGAATTAAACAAACAAGACAGAACAGTGCACGCTCTCAAAAACATAAAGCCACCGCAAAGTAAATGTAAACAAGGAAAGATCCGAACAGATTCGAATAAATATGCATGTGGAAAGTGCGGCAGTCCCCACGAACCCAGGATGTGTCCAGCATTCGGAAAAACTTGCAATAAGTGTGGCAAATGCAATCACTACGTAAAATGCTGCAAAACAAAAAATACTGGAACTAAAGTACACATTGTGGAAGAAAACACAGTCATTTTTTGTGGATTCAGTAAAAGTATGCAGCAATAGCAAAGATGAATGGATTGCACCATTAACAGTTAGTGGTACAATTGTGCCGTTTAAACTGGACACAGGTGCCCAAGTCAATCTCATATCAGAGAAAGAATATAAAACTCTCAGACAGAAGCCAAAAATAAACACAGTCAAGATAAAAGTCACAGACTATACAGGAGAAGAGGTGCCAGTGAAAGGCAGCTGCATAGCAAACGTCCTATACAAAGGGAAGCACCACAGAATTCAGATGCTGGTTGTAAACAAAGATGTACAGACAATTTTAGGCTTAAAAACATGTGTGCGATTGGACTTAGTAAAGAAAGTCTTCGTGGCTAATGTGCATAAGGACACAAGCAATGAGACACTCCTTAATGAATTTAGAGACATTTTTGAGGGGCTGGGATGCCTCCCAGGGGAACATAAAATTCACATTGACCACCAAGTGGCACCAGTCATTCATGCATGTCGAAAGGTTCCCTTTGCTTTAAGAGGAAAGCTTAAAGAAGAACTACTTCGCATGGAAAAATTGGGAGTGATAGCAAAAACTGAAGAGCCCATGGATTGGGTGAGCTCATTGCATATAGTGGAAAAGAAAAACGGCCAGCTCCGAATCTGTCTGGATCCAAGAGATCTAAATAAGGCCATCAAGAGAGAGCACTTTAAGTTACCCACTCGAGAGGAAATCATGTCACAGTTTGCAGGGGCAAAATGGTTCAGCAAGTTGGACGCTTCTACAGGATTCTGGCAGATGAAGCTGGACGAGGCATCATCAAGACTCTGCACCTTCAACACCCCTGAGGGCAGATACAGGTTTCTGAGGTTACCATATGGCATACTTTCAGCTCCAGAGGTATATCACAAAACCATCAGAATGATTTACGAACACATAAAAGGCGTGGAAACAATGATGGACGACATCATAGTCTATGGCGCAACCAAAGAGGAGCACGACACCAGACTTCGAGAGGTACTTGAAGTGACTCGTAAAGTCAATCTGAAGCTCAACAAAGAGAAACGTGAATTTGGAATGAAATCACTAACCTTTCTAGGAGATGTCATCTCAGAGGAGGGCATAAAGCCTGACCCTAAGAAAACAACCACACTTGAAAATATGGAGAGACCACAGAACAAAGATGATGTCAGACGCTTTCTTGGTATGGTTACATACCTAGCAAAATTCATACCACAGCTTTCTGCACAGTCTGCGCCACTTCGTAGTCTACTGGAACAAAAAAAACGAATGGATGTGGTCACATGAACAAGAAACCTGCTGGAAAACCTTGAAAGAAATTCTGATAGCAGAACCTGTGCTAAAGTTCTATGATCCAGAAAGACGCATAAGAATTTCAGCCGATGCATCACAGTACGGCGTGGGAGCTGTGTTACTCCAGCAGTATGATGACGTATGGCAGCCAGTGGCCTATGCGTCCAGAGCGCTATCTGCTACAGAAAGAAGATACGCGCAAATAGAGAAAGTATTGCTAGCCATTACATATGCATGTGAGAGATTCCATTAATTTGTATACGGACAAACATTCACTGTAGAGACTGACCATAAACCACTGGTTCCCATCATGGCCAAGTCGCTGAATAATTGTCCCCTAAGAATACAGAGAATGCTCATCAGGCTACAAAAATATGATGCAATTTTAATCTGCACACCGGGCAAGTACATGTTCGCAGCAGACACACTGTCTCGTGCTGTAGATAGACAAGAGGAAACAGAAACCTGTGCTACAGAAATCAAAGCTTACATGGACATGGTTGTAGCCTCGCTCCCAGTGTCTGCGGACAGGACTGACCAGATAAAACAGGAGACGGAGAAGAATGAAACAATGAAAGAACTGAAGGTGGCTATTCAGGAAGGATGGCCGGAAGAAAAAAAAGACTGTCTGTTAGAATTAGAGATTACTGGGCTTGCAGATCACAGCTTACAGTTGTAGATGGCATAATCTTCAAAGGCTGTAAATTTGTCATCCCGGCGAGCCTAAGGAAAGAAATGCTAAAAAAAATCCATGAAGCGCACCTCGGAGAAGAAAAGTGCAAAAGGAGAGCGAGGGAAGCGATGTACTGGCCCAGGATTAATCTGGACATTTCGCAGTTGACAGCTGCATGCGAGCTTTGTTTAACCTTCAGGCCCAGACAGCAGGCAGAGCCTCTTCTTCCACATCTTGTAACAAGTAGACCTTATTACAAGGTTGGAGCAGATTTATTTGACTGTGATGTGAAGAGTCACATTATGGTAACTGACTACTACTCTAATTATCCAGAGGTGGCCACTACTAGCAAAGCAGTCATTGCCTTCATGAAGTCCACGTTTGCTCGCCATGGTGTCCCCTGTGTAGTGTTTACAGACAACGGACCTCAGTTTTCTAGTAGGGAATTCAAGAAGTTTTCCGAGGAATGGGGTTGTACATCCAGTACAAATTACCCCAGATCAAATGGACTGGCAGATAATGCAGTGAAAATAGTGAAAGGACTCATGCGGAAGGCACATGCTGGTAATGAAGACTTTCATAGAAGTCTCATGATCTACAGAAGTGCACCACTGGAGAACGGGTTGTCCCCAGCTCAGATGCTCATGGGTAGAAGAATTCGAACAAATTTGCCCATTAGAGAGGATCTTCTGGACACTCCACACACTAGTCAAGTGAAAAGCTTTAAACAGAAACAAAAAAAATCAAACAAAAGAGACCGTATGACAGAAAAGCGAAACCACTGACAGCCTTGAAACCTGGAGACACCGTCAAAATAAGGAACCACAATACAGGTATGTGGTCTCAGCAGGGCAAAGTGGAAAAACAAGTGGCTCCAAGGTCTTATGAGATTTTGACGGATGGAGGATCAACACTGCAACGGAACAGAATTGATTTATGTCCTAAGCAGAGTTCTGAGACCAAGATACAGGATCCAACAACAACAGCAGCAACTTCTGAGTCAATGGTTCCAGAGAATGGAGAGGTTGCAGAGACAGTACCAGAGACAGTGAATGAACGAAGACCAAAAAGAAACGTTAAACCTCCGGAAAGACTGACTGAAGTTATGTGAAGTGTTGAGTTGGGTTACATGGGACTGTTTAGTTTCTATGGTAAAAAGGGAATAGGTAGTAAAATCAGTTAATAGTGATTCAAAGTTATATTGCATTTGAATATTGTTGTTGCTGTTGATGAGATTATATATATATATATTATATATATATATAATTTTTTTTCTCTCTTTAGGGGAGAGA